TGAAAATTTTGAAATAAATGCAAGTGAGTCTAAACTTTTGACTGGTAGTGAATGTATATATATATATATATTAACACAAAAAGTGCTTATTTTTGTAAACTTTGAAGATAATTTTAGAGAGCTTTGTTTTGTTTGGTATTGTTATGGCATGTCATTAAGGCAAAGGTGCGCTTCTTCTTGTTTTCCAAATGTGCCATCTATGGCCAAGAATTTGACTTTTGTCAGACACATACGTCTCAATCCGTTTATAAGGCGAACCCATTCATAAATCCATTCATTCATCCACAGATCGTAATTTTGACCTGAATGAGAGAATGATCAATCTCCAAGTCAGTACCCCCAGAGGTAGGATTTGTTATGGGAATATGGAGGATTTTGTGATCCGACAGATTTGACGTGTACTAATCACAATTTACTACACGGGGAGTCTTCCGCCAGCGAGAATCTAACTCACTACCTCTTGGACATGGGCCCAACTTTTTACTCGGCTATATCCCATCCAGTTTTGTTTTTCATTCATAATTATTAATAATTCCTTAGTAATGCTAATAAGTTATTAATGCTAATAAATTATCTAACAAATTATTGAACTAACCCTACATGGCTCTAGTATAATGAACTTTTTTTTAAAAATCTAGCGTGTCATATAAAGCGAAATTAACCATCTCCACCAGTCAAAAGGGGACTAAATCTAAAAATCTAAAAATTGCCTGCCAATCTCTATTTCATCACCTTTTTTTTCCTTCAAAAATGCACTTATCTTTTATCTTTTTTTTAATCTTTTCTTTTATCTTTGATACTATAATCCTTATTTTTAATGAATATCATCGTTCTTTTTAATAAATATGGAATTATTATGAATATTTTATCATCTTAAAATTACCCTATTCCACGCTTGTTTCTTAAAACTTTTCCTTTTTTTTAGAAATGTAATGTTTATCACATTTTTAGAAATACTTCAAAAGAAATGCCTTGCTTTATTAATATGAACAGTTTTTAAGTAGAAAATTCTCAATTTTCTCGTAAAAAAAGAGTTACCAATTGTTTTAAAAAGCTGCCATTGGTAAAAAAATGCTACTTGAGGCCACTGACCACAAGCAAAATGTCCCAATTTCGGCCTTTGGTGTATGAGAAAATTGTTATGAGATTGGAAAAGATGTTCTTTGGCTCCTTCTTTATTTCATTAAAGAGTAGGAAAACTAGTATTTTTATGTTATGACAGTGTGTGTCGGAAGAAAAAAAAAAGATTTCAATTTTAAAACAAAATCTGTCAGATTATCTACATTTGAGGACGCGAAAATGGATTCCAATAGAATTGTAAAATATAATTCAAGGCTAGCGATCATAAGGCTGTTTTTCGAAGACTCTGTGGTATTATGAAATGATGCTTTTTTGCTAATAATATGCTATTTTCATAACTGCTGTGTGCTGTTACTCATAACTGTTAGGTCAAGTTTAGCCTATCTAAAGCCTACGCTTATATTAAAAATGGCACTAAACGTCAAAAGCCACAGTTTTGTGAAAAGGAAATGCGTTTGCGGTCTAAGTTTTTAATATTTTAGTCTAATTTTTTTATATTCCAATGCTGTATTGCCTGGGCTTATAAAAATTTGCAGAACAGAGAATACGGCAGTGATTTTGATAATTTTCATCTAGGTGGAAAAATGCCGCCAATTTGGCAATTTTCAAAAAAAGTTTAATAACTTATTTAAGTTATTTGCCCGTTCTAAAGCCGAAATAAATCTGCACTGCAAGATTATAAATATAGTTTAAAATCATCGCATTGCTTCAAGCGTAAGACACTTAAACTATGGCATTTTTATTTTCCTTGGCGACAGAGCTTTGAGAAACAGGGAGTAGTGAGTAGGGAATTTAACTGAATCCAACGTAGCAAACTCAGCTTTAAACGAAAATATGATTTTCTTACTGATTTTATAACTTTTATTAAGCATAACAAATTTATTTTTAAGGTGTGCCTCTGGAACTGCCATAAGATTATATCTTAGTCCCGAAAATCGAATGATTAGATCAAAAGTCAATGAGGATGACTTTTAATTATATTTGCTTACAATACATTTATATATTCCTATACAAATAGTAATATCGAACTTTTAAAAAATTGTTTCCTGATGTTTTATTTCAATTTTTCTTTATTTTAGCTTTAATACATATTTATTTATTTGCTCATTCTGCATAAATTTTCGTATAAGCGTGTTACAAAAGGGACATTTTAAAATAATGTTGACGTCTGCTACTTTAAACTCTTATATTTTTTTAATTTTATATTTATTGATTTATTTATTTGCTCATTCTGCATAAATTTTCGTATAAACGTGTTACAAAAGGGACATTTTCAAATAATGTTCACGTCTGTAAATTTTTATATTTTTTTAATTTTATATTTAT